TTTCATTCGTTACAATGTTCTACAGCCTTGAAAAGGTACATAAAATGCGTTTTAATTTGAGACTGAAATTTCTGATTTATCGAATATTCACTCGCAACATTTTGTGCAGCAAAATACTGAATTATTAATAGAATTTCTTCTAGAGGAAACATATTTTACCGACATTAAAACGTAAAGGAATGTGACACCACTCAGTACCAATTACTATATGGCAACAGCTTTACAGTTTCGTCCTTATGTATGAACATTTGCATCTTGTGAAGCGCTTTGGAAAATCGAATACATTTTGCATTTTAAAAGTACATCCAAGAACAGTCCTCGCACAATCATTTATCAGTTATAAACTATTCGAAAACCCTAATTACTTAAACGGCAACAACAAACTATTTGTTAGGATTTGCAATACAATAAATCGTTCTATCTTAAATCTCTCCTGAAAAATTCAACTGTTTCTGTCAACAGCATAGTAGCAGTTTTACAAACGACTGAATTTTCTTAATCATGGTACGTTAAATGCTCGATTTTCAAACTATTTTACTGCGTTTTCTCTTTTTCGTATTATCTATCAAATAACTTTCAAATATCACCAAACTGTTCGTCATCATCGAACAAAGAGGTATGAAAACTCGTCTCGGTGTAACATATATTCAAATATTTAGAGTTTTCGCAACTAATTTGTTTGCTTTCTTTCGGAAGCAGCTATATATTTCAACAGAACATCCAATTTAAAAATACGCAATACACTATTTAAAAATTCAATCACATGAACAAAAAATCTATACCCATTCGTAAAAACAAAACGATGACACTTGCCGACGAGTCCCAACACCATATGCATTTTTTTTTATCACTTCGGGACTGTCACATTTGATCTGCAGGTATTTAATTAGCATAACTGCCATTTCATTCGTTGTGATTAAAGACAATTGTCTACGATTTCACTCCAATTTGCTGATTTATTGCATGTTCAAACATTATAAACGTTACGCTTGATATTTCACTCGACTACTGCATAAAATGACTTTATTATTGATATTATTGTAATAAATAGATGTACTGGTGGTTACTGTAACATAACTGTCTTGCGGCGGTAATTTACAAAGGTTGAATTGAATTCGTCCAATGCGCTAAATAAACCATTGATAAGATGGATAGAGATAGTTTCTGTAAGCAATAAAATCAGACATTTACATTCAAAAACCATCAGTCTGTGGCAGCGCGTGCGCTACCTGTATAACTCAGTTGACCCTCAACTCTGCGGTGGCCGCACTTTCACTGGGGTTCTTCATATTATACCGCTCCTGTATCAGTGTGCAGCTGCCTACAACCGATATATTGAGGAGCGTTTTCCAATATGCCAAACTACTCAGCTTCAGGTAAGATTTTGCGGAAATTTTTTGTGCGGCAAAGTAAAGCGAGAATTTCCTGCTATTTCAGAAATACGGGATGAGTAGAACAATGGCATATTCTTAGGTTCTCATGCTCAACTATATTTTCTTGGCTAATTTGGAAAATGATCGAATTTGAACAAGGCAGGAAAAGGCACCACGCTGCCAAATCTCTTTAAGCACGAGCAGTTATTACTACAAGTTCTTTTGATTTATTACAGAAGTACATGTACGTTTCAAGACTTTTACAGCAAAACAGTAGAAGACAGAATTCTAACAGATTTATATTAAATCAAGAGAATCGGACGTAAGATGTCCGCAAAGCGACCATCCTGCCAAAATCTTCCTTTAATTCATTCCATTGCTTTTGTATTTGACCATCAGGTACAATTTTAAATTACATTATGCGTTTGCTCAGTTAGTACAATGCTAAATTTGATGCAGTCACAAAACGTAAATAATCAAGTATATTTGCAACTTAAGAGTTGCAAGTTACATTTAATATCTTCTAGCTTTTTTCAGAATGATGCGACTCCCGTTCTTAGTTTTTTTGGTGGCAGTGACGCGACACTCCGAGCTACCTTGCACATTAGAGAGCGAGTTATAACTAAACGCGCGATGAACATTTTTTGATTCGTTACGAATTCTTTTCAGCAATGAATTCACCGCACTGTACTTCAATTCCACTAGCTGAAAAGGAATAACAAATCGTCAACCTGCGAATAGTGACAGCATTGTTTTGTGACCACGTCAAAGCACGCGAGACATTCACGATGCTGTTTTATACGTGCGCGTTGCGGCCAAAATTCGCGTTGACCCACCTAATTACACATTAAAAATCAGCACAAATCTCCCGTGCTTAGTGAAGTTACGAGCCTTTCCAACTGCTGCTAATAAGATTAGAAAAAATAGGAAGTTATGATCTCGTCAACACCACTGGTATACTTAGAAACGTTGTGTTAGTTTATTATTCAATGAAATGATTACTTTACGTTACGTAAGACAAGATAAATTGTCCTCGTTTTCTGCGTGCACCCAGAAACGCCTTGCATGCACATTCCTTAGGAAAAGCGAATGGCTAAAAACAAAATTTTCCTGTGATTTGGTTAAGTGTATTGACGTTACTACAGGACACTTTCTTCAGATAAACAAAAATGATTTCTGACTATCTGCAGACGGAAACAGTGACTGTTGCTATGAAGTCAGCAATTCATTTTACACATGCATGACAGTAATAGGCTCGAACGGAAATTCCTGAACAAAACTGAGAAACTGACTTGAAGGAAAGCATCGCTGCGATTCCTTGCCGATGCGCTAACGCCCGCACTGGTTAATAGTCATTCAGGACAAGAAAACATGTTTTAGCTTTAATAATGTTAAGCCATATGGGCATGCATCGGCCAGATGACTGTCAGAAAACAGTATTAACGAACAGTCAACTCATTAGTTAACAAAACCAAGAGCATTACAGTCAGTTGGTACTGTCGTTCTCGAATTCATATGGCTAGTAACAAGTTGTACCATAGGTTTGTACTTTATGTACTTTGTACCGACACAGGGTATACTTAATAACGACAGAATACTTCAATATTTTGAAGAGTAAATAATTACCGCACTGCGGCCAAAGGAATATGCCTGCATGACCTATTTTATTTCAGCTTAGATGTTAGAACTGAGATACATGTACAAAACATCTCTGATAAAAATGTTCCGTACAATTATTCAAAGACAGCATGTCTTTCAACCCCTCTCCAAAACGACGAACGGTTCTTGCGACCAATGGTTAATAACCACGAATTGACCAGGCATGAATCTGGAATACATATGTCAAAATCAAGCATGTTTTACATTATTTAAGCAAACCACAGTGTGAATGTGATTATAACGCAGAAACATTAGGTATAAATGTATTTCTGATAAGACTGACAAATTTCGTTTTCAGATACAGTTAAATATAATGCAAATTTACTGTATAAACGGCCGGCACTAAAATGCTTCATAGGCAAATTTACATCGTAACCCCGCGACCCGTATTTCGCCATGACGATTTGAACTGTTTGGCAAAATATTCAGATGTTCATAAAAGAAATATGAAGTCACATTTCTAAAAAATGCAACAAAGCGGATCAATTTACGTTCACTCAAATAAGACGGAGATAAAAGCTAACAAAAACTTGACTGACATAGATGAATGAATAAAGACAAACGAAAATAAAGATACGACATGCTACGCTTGTCACCTTAAACAGATGACGGGACAAGAATATCAAAGTCCTCACACCGTTTTCTATACCACAAGACTGACAGCGCAAAATACAAATGAATCAGAAAACTGAAACTTCCTTTCACTCAGTAAGCTCTCGAAAAAAATAACCTTAGCCTGGATGTTATAAATAATGAACAGTGATTAAAACAGAATCTAAAAACAGAGGAAGTGCGTTTAAAAGCATTTCTACTAGCGTTAGGCAGCTATAGTTACTCAGTGCGCAAAGAGCGGTCTTGAATTGCTACTACTACTGTTACTTCATCCAACGATAAAACGCAAAACAGGAAGTGGAAAGAGCATGGGAAAACCGTTAAATACTACCGTCAATCCAACCTCTAAAATGAGAATTTCTAGTAACAGAACGAAAGAAAGAGTCAGACGACGCTGAACGAATGATCTCTGAAGTGGAAAAATTGGCCCAACTGAGCCAAGTGGACGATAACCTTGACCATCTGAAAATAGGTTTACGTTTCTTGAACATGCTGCACTTCTTAAGCATTAGTTTCGTTGTTAATGGAGGTTCAAAAAGAAACTGAAAAGAAATTAAAATTAAAACCAATTGCTACAAGTCGTGACTGAGGAAGCAAAACTGTGTGTATCACATTTTCCAAGGATATATACAGCATATTTGATTAATCCAAAATTCAAAGGATCAGATAATTATAAATGCAGTAACACCTCCATAGTTCGAAATTTACGAAAAGAATCTGTCAGTCAAATATAAATACGAAATACAAAAACAGACACGAATTACTTTAAAAAGTAATATTTAATCAAATTCCGTACATCTATATTCAAAGTTGCGCATTTTTTAAACAGAATAACAGTACAAATGCTAACTTCATCATCGTTACTACTTAATACACAGCTTAAAGTAGTGCTTAAATTACAATATATCATTCAAAAATAACGCATTTAAGTTAGCCACTAGCCAATAAGCTTTAGCTTAAGCACGGTGACCGTTCAGAAGCTAAGAGTTATGAGCAGAATTTGCGATACTGCAATATAACTTATGAATTGCCGGCTTGGTCTGAAACTCAAGTAAGATTGATCCTTACCGGCAGAATGTTCATGTTTTGGTAAGTCTGAGGGAGACAACTGATGGGAGACTTCGCACAAATCAATTATACTTTCGTACGGGGCAATCATGCTCAGACCAAAATTTCACCTTTCATAATAACAGAAAGCAGTGCAGATGAGTGGAGTTGCTGTGATCTGATATCTTCATCGGATGTAAAAGTTGTACACGAATCAATATGTCGCACAACAAGGTTGAAAAGTTGAAAGTACCACAGAATACATTAGTAAAACATTGCTCCATGACAACTACAAAAACAGCCAGTTTTCTATTTTCTCATTTGATACGGAAAAATAGTCGACTTCTGTCTGAAACAGGGTGGTATGAGCAAAGATGATTTCATTTTATACTGACATATAACACTGCTTTGAAAGTTGGTCTATTCCTTAGGGTTCCGAAATAAAATTCTACCCATCCGGCAAAACAGATCCACAGCATTACTAGTATGAGGAAAAGAAAATAAGGTCGATCACAATTTCCTATGCAGTTCGTTCATACAAATTCCAGCAAAGGCATCGACAGTTAAATAGGGTAATGACCTTGCTTCCAGCAACTTCGATATTCTGTCTGACATTCTGAATGGTAGCGCAATATCCTTCCCCAGGAAACCCGCATATGCCTTGCCTCAGTCGGCTGGTGCTTCCAGAGGGCAACGATGCCATTGCTCTGAAGAATGACGAAGAACGATGCATCAGCGTTGGATTTAACGATCCGTGAGTTAAATGGCAGAATCATGAATGGCTATCATCTTTCTGAATATATCATATCTGCTATCATTTTTAAACCAGAAGCTAAGGGAATGAGGTTGGATCAATCTGACAAACTAACTGGACATATGCCATTCATTACAACAACAACGTTTCCGGGGAATCGAAGCATTGTGCATGTCCATCAAGGAAAGACATGACAGGACTCAAGCAGCAAACACAACAGCAATAAACAGGATAGATGCAGATCACTGTTCAGAGAGGCATTATGTCTTCTTTGACGCTGCAACTGCTTCCTTACAGTAATAGTATTTAAAGACTGATCGCGTAAATAAAAAGCTGCATTTAGGTTGATTACGAACAAATAAAACATGAAGTTAAATGCCTTCATTCCTATACGTACCTGCTTTTCAGACTGCAACTTTTCTATCTGAAACGCCAACGACTGGGCACGAAATGACAGCAATTTCGTATTCTCCATCACCTGCTCATAAACGCTCACAGCCTTGGTGCCCATAACCACTAGACCCTGATTATAAGCGGTTTTAAGAAAGTACACGAAAATATATATATGGAAACATTACAAGCTTCGCATCGATCTTTGCATCCAGTCTCGCGTTCCGAATTAAATTGACTATCCACTTTTCGGATTCTTCAGGTGTCATGTTCAATTTTTCAGCGATGTTTCTTAAAACCCGACTTGTACCGTAGCACATAATTATACTCTCTGTACAAAGATACGTTACACAAAATATATTATACAGAGTACACGACAAATTACAAAAACTTAAGAATTATGCTAAGAGGCAACTGTACATATCAATAGAAAAGTCTGTACAAAATATCGCCACATGGAATAAAATTAGAAGTGTTATTCAATGAAAACAGCACAGGCGTCAAAGAGCGATCTGAAGAAAAACCATATGCCTATCCTTTTCAACAGAGTAATATCATCACAAACACTTGTTAAGGTTTTGGATTCTGGACCCATAGCTTTGAAGATAAGCATTTAAACGATTCATGGTTCATAACACCAAACATTGCAGATGGTACAACAATTTAATGCCGATGCGCTTCGCCACGTAGACCGTAGCATCATTAGGACTAGGCAAAGTACAAATGAATGCTTGAACGCAGATATCCAACATGCGAACAGTACGTTACAACCAAAATTATTTAAATCGAAAGGCCAGCGTTAACCAACAAACCAGTGTAAATTTCTGATTAAAACGATCGTCACCCAGCTTTTGCTAATAACCACAGAAGATATGTATTCACTGCAAAAATGCGGCTTTTCATTGCCAATATATGCAAGGATTCCTTTAAGGGTACACCTAGTTTAGATTGATCTTTGTCTATAACAGACACATTGGTCTGACTGAAAGAATATCCTTCAGTAATCGCATGCTGAGCAATACCGGAAATGTCAACCTGTCCAATGCGGACCGCAGAAACGTGCTCTTTTTTCTTGATGTTCAATTTTCGGTTGGCCTTTCCGATGCACACCTTGTCGCAGTCTCTACACTGAACCTTGTATACAACATCTGACACACCTTCAGTATTAATAATGGCAAGGTACTGTTTCAGTAAGCCATCGCCCAATGTTCTGCAAGTCTTGTAGTAGATTTTAAACCCCATGTTGCTGAGGTGCCTCCTAATACGTTGAGATACCTGTGGTATGAACGGTAACATTACCATTAGTCCGCATGAACTGGCCATCTTTTAGTTTGAACTAGGGTGCAAAATTTTTCGTCAAGGATCCTCCTTCGGTAACCATTCTTCAGGAACGCTTGGTGAAGATATTGGATTTATCCATTTACGGCCGATATGTTACTGCTGACCTCTTGGGCTCGTAAAAGCATGTTCTTCACAACGTTCCTAAGTAATCCAGGACGGATGCATGACGCAAGTTGTAGGTATCGATTAGAATGTGTTGGCTTCCGATATACAGAAACATCAATTCAAGCGTTGGAGTCCTCTTTACAGCACGTCCAGAACGGACATAGAGTGGCTAACCTCCAACTTCGGTACTAAAGGGTATTCGGCAATTTTTGTCCTGTCCATTTATGTAATTCACGAAACATTCCAACCGTTCCAGTTCGTCCTCATTTCGTTGGAAAAATAGGAAAATGCCAACAATGAATCGATCACAGAACAGAGGTCGGAATTCTGGCGACGATTGCAAAATTCATAAGATCGTTTTGGCGAAGAGCTTTATTAGGACTGACGTTCTATCAGTCAAAGTACGTCACTCTGACACAGGTGTTCTACCGATTTTACTTGATATTCTTTAATTCTTCTTTAGGCGTCACCAATGTCTTCCTCATACCATAATATACCATCTCTAGATGCGTTTATAAAAAGGACACCATCGTCTGAATGTGAAGTTTCCGTTTTCGGAAATCGACCTAATGCAACAGATACGTACATCCAAGGACGCGTGTCCCACGTGTTTTTCCAGAAATATCGTGCAAAACATGTTTATGCGCGCAAAAAAGTGCAACACCGCTTTTGTCCTAGAGCTGGAATTCGACATCTAAGCCAGGTATTCTTGAAGAATGGGTATTCGAGGAGGACAATTGACCTTGGCACATCAACTACACCTTGATTAAGTCCTGAGAGAGCACAACAAGTGTAATTTCGCCATACATATCCAGGTATCTGAACCAATCAAAAAATACGTCTGTAACATTTGGTTCATGGTCTATTAGAAAATCAGCATGAGCTTATAAATGCCTCATTCAAAAAGTACATCCGCAGCAACTTGGAGGTGAGGAAAGCGGCTTATCATCGAGTGTGATGACTGGAATAACGTTGAAAACCCTATCAAAATTTGAATACCCGGATTAAAAGAGCACTTACTTGCAGCCTGTCTCGGATATGCTGTTAACTCTGGGTTAGTAAGCACTAAGCTTGATATAACGATAAAGGAGTCACAACATATTTCTGTCACAACAGAAACATCGTATGTGTAATGAATACCCTTCCTCTGAGATGATAAGTGAATGCTGGTGTGCTATTACGAACTTTTTAAGAGAAACATTTAGTACCATGAAATGACAAACAGACTAAACTCTAAAGTTTAATGTAACGAATGTGATGGCCAGATTTTGGTATCAATGAACAACTCACATGAGGAGACTAGTAGCTTGATAATAATTTGCACTCCGACGAAGTTACAGCGCACAGCGAAACGTGCTGGTACTAAGTGTCCAAATATGTGGTTTGGTGCTCGCAAACATTAATCGGCAGTGCATCTGTAATTTCACTAACGGAACCGGAATCGAGAATGTTATAGCGTATTGATGAATCAACTGGATCATCAAAGCAATCGAGCATGACCTAAAGCAGCACTATTGTCCCTCAGTGATCGGTAAACTTGCAAAACATATTGGAAAGGCAATTTCACTGACATCTGCAGCTATGTTCGAGGGTTGTAGAATTTAATGAACAGAATCAACCAGAGAAAGGGAAGGTGATCCGAGTGAAAATGAAACTGGGCATTCTGAACACGCACGCACTCAGCCTAAGTGCTCGAGGAATTTAGCTTGAAGGCTGCTAAAGCAAAACAATGCTCTCACAGGATACATGCATGAAACAGAAAAATTTACACAACCTGATCTAGGAATTTACCTAAGACGAGATCACAGAATGAGGTGCACGCTATGCGCAAATATACGGAAAGTTGTTCCTTCCTCCGGAGTGCTGGAATGTGACAATGTTCCGAAACATTAAAACTAAACGCGCAGTGCTAACTGAAATGATTAAACAGGAATAACCTGCGTTACTACTTCAGAAAAAGAAAAAATCGCGCTTGCACTATTTTGTAACATCATTTATACGACTGCTTTCATATTCTTGCATAGCAGTACAGTCGTGTCAGTCTGGCAGAAACATCAAAAGTAGGCTCAGAATATGCTAATAAGCATAATTATACTCCAACAGGCACACGGCACGGTCCTCTTTTTGATAGTGGTATGGATTGTCCTTTTAACGGGCCACGGTGGGGCGTGATTTTAGCGCATTATTCCTGGTGTTCCAGCATATTTTTCGATATTGCGCTTGTAAAGAATAGAAGGAGTGCTGAAGCATGGCTAAGTAGGCATTTTTCTAGCATAACATACCGTAAAATGCATTTATGCACTGCACGTGCTCAAAAAGCATGGAAGTCGATGGCAGCAAAACGTTTTGCGTGGCACCTACGAAAGAAGGGACGGTATAAAATTCCCATTCGACGGAATTACGCTCTTAACGCATTCGAAGAGGAAACTCCTTGTCTGTTGTTGCTGGTGCGAGTCATTATGAAAACTCTGAGATGACTAAAACCGGCCATCATTGGCTATTGTTGGTGATGGAACGCGACTGCAACTGACTTTAACAAACTTCAAACTTTTCGAGAGATCGATTTCGAGTTATTCTGCGGCACCACGCAATGAAAGAACCACGGAAAAGAGAGTAAAGACAAAATGAAATCAAATGAAGTTAACTGTACCTGATCGATATGCACTGATGTATGCGGCAATACATTTCGAAAATTAACAAACGGGCAGATTCGATGAATTCGTTCAGACAAGCGACAAGGAAAAAGTCGTTAGCGAGTACCTAAAGCGAAACAAGGTTCCCCCAAAAAGCACAACTTCTTGTCTGTCGTAAAAAGGCATATTCACCTCCTCGCATTCTCGCAGTTTCTGCTGAGCACCGTCAAAATTATAGTGAACGTAAAGACATTCCACAAATTCAGTCACAGAATCTCTGTAGTGGTAAGATTCCTAAAAAAGTCATTTAGTTTAGTTGGTCACAATCAATTAAATTCATTAGCATGACTTGCATTGAACTGTCAATATTCGCACACTCAACGCGATAAACAGCTGAATCATGCAACTCAGCGTCTTACCTGAATTTCGTTAACCTAACCGTTTATGCCTATCCGTACTTCCAGCTTGCAAAAAGTTGAATATACTCAGCCTCCTTAAAATCTACAACGTTAAAGAATTTTTAAGCGCAGAAACCACTAACTGATTAACACTTTAGATCGCGACGTTCCAGCGACGATAATGCATTGTTATACCATTCAATAAAAACATGTGTGCGGTGGCAATTGGCTGCTCACTAACAAACTTCAACTTTATTGTTTTACGAATCTGACTACAAACTTCAGCTAAGTGATTACGGCTTTGCTCCAATGCTAAGAATCCACCTGCAAAGAAACTGATTTCATATATCCTGCAAGCCGCAGTGACTGGCGTCATACATCAGCATCTGAGCTATGATTATGGGATCAATTTATACATTTAAAAACATCGGCTGTTTTACAGACTTCCAGCATACTAGTATGTTCTGATTTCTTCTTTCTGCATCTGCTGTCAGAGATTATACGCCTAAGCAGTTTCGGCAGTCACACTGCTGATAACTTAATAACAGTATCTCTCACGTTTCGAGTTCCGCATTGACTGCCATGTTCTCCAAGGTGTCAATGTGTCCGGCTACTTTATTCAGACTCGCAATCAAAATATCACCAGTTCGAAATCTGGTCAACTCATTCACCTGTCATTTTTCCGACGTAATAAATGTGTACCAATTCATGGTAAAGAAACAAAAGACTCTACGTTATAGTGGCCATTTAGAAGCAAACACTACTCTCAAAAAATAATAAGAAAACTGGCTGATGGCATCAAAAAGAAGCTCAGTAAGTCTGCTTGCGGAGTTGCCTGGTTTGTACCCTACTCAGTGATGCTATTGCATCCATGTTCTTCCAGTGCTCAAATTCCATGAAGCCCTGATATGATTCAATGGTTCACAGGCGTCTAGAAACAAAGGAACAGAACAGCTGTGCCGTATAGCCCGATATATGGCGCATAGTCATTCTGTACAGCAGCATGTGTGAAGGAAAATGGAAAAGATAAGTTCGTGCTCTCCGCTAAGAAGCATCATGTATTTTGTTTCAGTCACAGCTTCGAAACTGGCAGGCGAACGTGCCTCGTTCGATCCTATTCACTAAGGTATGGCATTCATGTTGCCTGAGTCACTTCTAGCTTCGAATCTGCGTACGGATATGTCAGGTTCGTACTTCACTCAATGACTGTTGCATTCACGCACTTCCGTGCATAAATATCATTGAGCTGCGACACGTTTAAAAGATATTTCAAAAATCAAGGTGTTTGCGCAACATCATAGTAAAAACCGGTGCAATGACGCGCATCGTCATTCACTATTAGTGTAATCCAAAACAAAAGGAAAAAACCAAATTTGCTTGGATGTAGGCCTTCTTCAGAGTTTCATGACGGGTGCCAGCCATGACAATCTTTGTTCACTGAATCTGTGGTGTGGGCCTACATCTCCATGCCTCTTTTATGACACTGTTATTAAACATGTATAGCTTCTTGTTTTCTGTTCCTGAAATGACATTCATTTATCTACTGCTAAAAGCGTGATCAGGTGCGAGAATGATAATCTTTGAATGCACGTTTGGCGCTGAATTGACTGACCTTCCGCAGGATCTTGAACTTCCAGTTCTATGAAACTATAGTTGCACAAAGAATCCCAAAGAGGCCAACCATTATGTAAGCGTAAGGGAAACTTATATCTCACAATTAAAATCTTTTCTTCCTTTTCTTTTTGGCAGTTAGGTTGGGTCG